TTATTTTGGGCAACTGACGAGCAGGACAGCTGGCCTGGGTGCTAATTAACAGGCATCAGTGTAAGTCAATTGATACGGTCTCGGATATCAATCTCGATATCTGCTTTAATAGCCTTCATAAAGGGCTGCCAAGAGGGAGACCATCTTCTTTAGTTGAGTTTCTTCTTGTTGTGATAACGCAAGGGTATGTAAATATTGTTACTGTAGAATAATAAGAGGGGTTGAAGCCGAATCCAAGACGTCAAATGGTCAAGTATAGGAAGATATCGTCTGATCTTATGGAGTCGATGATAATGGCCGTAAAAGGATTACGTCACCTGATATCAATGTCACATTATAGTTATGGTCATGTGATCACCTATACAATATTTCGCGAGACATCTTGTGCATTTGCACTATTTATGCTTTAAATTCAAGAGTTCAGCAATGATCAGCGAAGGATATCTATACTCATTCCAATCATGAGCACTCGAGAAGCGCTGGATATAAATCGACATGCTGTGGGTTATAGTGTATCTCGATGCTCTCTGTGGGATGCGTCACTCCTCCAGTGATGGAAACAGTCCATGCATCTAGCTATCACTCAATACAACGTCAAAAAAATGATATTGGCATCTGTTGAAGGGGAGTCGCAGGCCAGCAGAAAGCCCTAAGCATCCCCGTCACTCAAAGGCATGTTATTGCTGTCTTCACATCTGATTAAAATGGTGTTTTGCGGGAAAGAATATACTTACAGTTTGTGGAGGCTCCAAATTAAAGCCTTAGCTCAACCTTAAAGCCCCTTCAAGCCAGTCTCAATAGCCGCCTGTCAAAGTCAGCCTTAAGCCAGAGCCTCGACCTTTCATTCATATCGTTGCCAGAGCTATCTCTGTTGACTTGCTCCCAGCCTTGCCGTCTTTCTGCCTCTTTTTCCCTTTTATGCCTCCTTTTCCTCGTCTTTTCTCAAGCTCGTTTCAGGCGCTTTTCAGTCTTGGTGTAAATCAAATACAGATCGCGTAATATTACACATTCTGTTCCTGCATCTAAGCCTCTTCGGGAAAACGTCAGGCTGTGCGGCCAATGGGAGAGAGGCCGCGTCTTCCTCCGGACGTATTTAAGACACCCGAAATACCGGGAGATCGAAACAAGCTTTTTACGAGGCGCTTTCCTTGGCGTCTTTTTCTCTTTCTTTTTCGCTTTTCTCTCTTTCTCTTCCTTCGCCTCCATCACCGGCAGCGTCGTCGTCGTCCTCTTGCTCTTTGCTCTTTGCCCTACGCATCCTCTCGCCGGGTAACTGTGTATATCCTAGCAGACAAGATACTCTTTGCGGGCTGAAAGGGGCAATTGAACTCGATACCTTCAACTCCTTCGCAGGACACATCCGCAAGAAGCCGGCCAGCCACCGCAGCCATGGTCTTGCTACGGAACATAGCTCTCGTCGCCCTCGCTCTGGGCAGCGGAGCTACTGCGTCAAATGCAGCTTACTTCAAAAGAGCTCCCGAAGGTATGTTTCTGTTGCTATACTTGCGCCTGTAGCCTTGATCTAACGTGGTTCCGTTTTCCAGACATGTCGACCTCTGCGGTTGCAAAGACAACGGGAACCGAAGCTACTCAGTCGACAGCTACCAGCGGTGCCGAATCTTCCATGACTTCCAGCTCGTCTACTTCGACCAAGGCGACCGCCCCTACTCCAAGCCCGACCCCTTCAGATGACACGGATACTGGAGGGTCAGGGTCCCAGGAAGATCCAGAGCTCACTGGTGACAAGCCCAAGGAAGCTCAGGCATGCAGCTCCGAAAAAGATCTCTCTGTCAAACCCTTCTGTTCGCCTCATGATCAGCAAGAAGTATACGTCGATGACACCTACTATGGTATGTAGCTTGTAGCATGATACAGTGCTTCAACTGGACATTGCTTTGCATGTTGATCTAACAGTGTCTGTCTTAACAGTAACCTGGCTTACTTCACTTCTCGGTTCCGACTCTGTTGTTAGAGTTGGCGCAGATTACGTCAATGTCTCTATGAATGAAGGCCTCAATGCTTGGCTTTCTCGTGAGACCCCAAACAACCACAGCTATGTCGCCATTCAGATGAAGGCGGAATGGCTGAAGGGCGAGAAACGCAATAACCTCACGTTTTTCCTGGACGAGTTTCCAAAGGGCAAAGGAAAGGTCCATCACAACGGTCCTACCATCTCCCTCGTCAACAAACCTCCAGTCCACCATCCTCCACCCCCTCCAACTCCAGCACCCAAGCCGCTTGGCCTTCTCATCGGTCTACCTCTTGGTCTCGGCGCCGTTTTCCTGATTCTACTCGGCCTCTGCTTTGGTATGAAGCACCAGCGCCGAATTGGCTTGAGCAACATTATGGGCCGGCGCAACAAGGGCTACGGTGGTAGACGTGCCAGAGCCATGAGAAGTGGACGCGGTGCCGGTGGTTCTATCAGGTTGGACGACATGGAGGATAGCGGACAACAGTACTCCGACACCCCTGAGCGACTTCCATCGCGCCAGCATATAGTTTCCGATACGGAGACTTTCAACGAAGTTCAACGCCGCGAGGGGAATGCTTTCAGACAGGAACTTGCCCGCTTGAAGAACTGGAAGTGATTGAATAGTATCACTACATAACGAATTCCTGGTCCTGTACTGTGTACAGTCACCTTCTATAACGACTGCACGGAGCTATGCCGCCACTTGATTGACCTTGGGCCTTGACTTTGACCTTCTACCTATATCCTATCATCCTTTTTTTGACACCTTACCGCTGGGATTGATCGGTATGTGATGATTATACTCAACCCATTGAGTACTCCTTTCCATGACTTTTGAGCCTGTTATTTGTGTATACTGTTATGTTCTGTTGTTGTTGATATCGTGTTCTTTGGTTTATATTGCCTTCTTTGATGGTTCGTCATGCCTTCTTTACTGTTTCATTAGACAGCTATGGTGTATTGCATGAAGTTTTCAAGGTGGTGTATTGCTTAACCCACGGGTTCCCATCTTCCCTTTTAGTACTTGGACGCTGTATAAAAGGACTCTAAGACCATTATTATATCAATAGACGATTGTATTATTCTGGTGCTTACAGACGGTCCCTGATATCAATTGGATCGCCCTCAACACCACCCTCAATATGTCCCATGGTCAAGGCACAAAATCAAAACTAGAACAGAATAAAGCGATGATAAAAACATAGATTCCTATTCATTTTATACCTTTTTTTTTTCTTTTTTCTTTAACGTTCTTTTGGTGTACCATCATGCCAATGCATAAGAAAAAAATATGAAGAAATCAATACGCCAGCTCGAACTTACATCAGCAAAGGTTAATGTAGTGACAAGCATATAAGCGTGAACCATGGTATCGAACGGAGGGCAAATCAGATAAGATAAAAAAATAAAGAAAAAAAGGGGTAAAAGGGACAAAAGGTAATATTGCAGTCAAACCATGAACGTAGGAAGAGAAAAGCCGATTTTTTGGAGGGTCTAAAACAATTGGTGAGTACAAAGACAGCATGATGGGGAAACGACCATAGAGAGGATTGAAGAAAGAGGCTTGCTGGTCTGGCTGAGAGAAGTGGTATAGGAGGTAGGAGGCAACGGGTCATCAAGTCGCCGTGAGATAAAACTTGGCTTCGCGCGTATCGTAAGGCTAAAGACAAACCTGGATTGTAGTGGGAGTTACTCCGTGAAAAAGAACCGTCGTGACATGAGAAAATGGGAATGGAGGGGAAATAAGCGGATGCAGGAAAGGTCATTTATGCGGTTGTCTCCTCGCCATAAAACGACTTGAGAACGTTAACGACATCGTGATAATCATTCTTCGCCTCGGCCAGTGCCTTCTTGATGTTGGCTAGCGACCTGCTTTTATCCGGTTCAGGATGGGTGCCAGACTCGTCCTTTTGTTGGCCGTAGTTCTGGATCTTCTCACAGGCATCCTTGACCTTGGTGAGGCCCAAGGTAGCCGAGGATCCCTTGAGGAAGTGACCTAGTTGGGACAGCTCAGCTAGATCTTCGGACGAGCTGTAACCACGGTAGCAATAACGTTGTGGTTAGTAAAAAAGGTTTCTCCTTGGAGGGTGCGGGTAATGACGTCATCTGAAAGGTAAAGATAGGGGTCACGGGATGATGTTATGATGACGTCACGGCAAACACGTCAAGGGAGGGGATGAGTGTCAAGACCAAGGTCAAGGTGGGAGTGAAGGGAGTGGGATATAAGAAGGGTAGAGGAGAACGCTTACATCGCGGATTCCATTTTGAGGAATGTGGCTTCTGCCTGGTCGAAAAAGCCATATACTATACTTCGGCTGAACTCCCTCTCTTGATCCTCGTCGTCCATTTCTAAAATCTGTTCAAAAGTACCTACGTCAAGGTATTTATATTTTTCGAGGCTCGATATGTTATTTCTCGGCTGGAAAAGTCGCCATGTTAGCTGAACTGGAGAGATAAAAGAGGGATGTTGGAAGTTGGAGATAAATACCCCGTCTTCGGTTTGCGCGGATGGAGCCATGATGGACGTCCTGGGTTCAGACTGCACAGGATCGGAAGAATGTACGCAAGGTCTCATTTGATATTGCAGCCTGGAGGGGCTCTGTCTCTTTTATTGGTATCGAAAAGGCAGGTTGGTGTGACGTTGACAAAAACTTTGCCAGAACTATCGGAAACCAGTGCTCTGGTTCGGGGTTCGGCTTAGTTTTAAACGTTGTGCTATCCGCGGTTGTAAAGCAGGCGTTCCTGAGGGAAAAAAAGGCTGGTATATAGGAGATCGCAAATTGAGGCTCGAGGTCGGGTTGAACTGCGTCGAGATTTTCCCTATCTTTCTTGGTCGTTCTAGCTTTCTCTCTTTCTTTTAGCCGGGGAAATGGTTGCGTGGGACCCTGAGACAAATCGTTAACTTTCAGGATACTTATAAGTGCCACCGAGACCAGTTGGCTAATGGAGAATGCGGTCGTAAGACGTGGCAAATGACAGTGGAGGTGATGTTCCTCTAGATTAATAAAAACATGTGATGTGTAGATTTTGCGCGGCCAGACCCGAGTTAGGTAGACAGTCGAGCACCAACCCGTGGGGGTGATGGGCCCGAACAGGAGCCGTTTAGCCAGACAGATAACAAAGAATAGTGGTCTGAGAGGCGGGAGATTCGACATTACTACCCAGCATGGGAGTTAAATGTTATATTGGAGGGTGGGGAAGAACTCGGAGGAGCGTAAAACAAGGGAAAGTCTATATTCACCTCTGATTTGACAAGGGGTCGTAAAAAAAAGTTGTATAAATGGAAACCTCCGTCAAGCGAAGTAAAAATCAAATGGATGTATCTATCAAAGAGGTAAGTAAGTGTTTGTTATGAAAGAGTTGAAGAGTGACTTGGGGATGCAACGCAGACTTCGAGTGTGAAAAAAATAAAAATAAAAAAAATAACAAAAAAACAGGACAAATCACAGTAACTAACATACGTAAGGCAGGAATTAAAGAAGGAAGAAAATACAGGCAAAAAAAAAAAAAATCAATAAACGGCATTCTTCCCTGCTGGGGCACCTGATATCAAAACAAATATGCAGAAGGAAATACCACTTACAATCAAGTTGTTCTAGCGGAAGAACTATTCCATTCAAGAGGATCCGGCTTGTTTGCACTATCTATTCTGTCAGAAAAAAAAGTCCCAAGGGGAATTTATACGCTCTTAAAGTTTTCTTTCTCTGCGTCCCCTTGCTGCTGCTCTCTTCTCTCCGCCGCTTCTTTTCTTTTCTTCTTCTCTTTGCTTTTTGGACAGAGTATGCATACCGATGATGAGCTTGGAGGGATTAAGGGTTGGGCGTCTTAAAGAGCGAGACGCAAGCCAAAGGACCCCAGAACCACGCTGGTACAATGGGTGTCGAAGAAGCACTGCTGCTGGAGGCACTGGTGCTGTATGATAGACCCGGGACTCAAACGGCGGCCAGAAAGCACGCTGCAGATGCCCACTGTTTCTGCTTGTTTGAACAGAAAAGAAGTCCTGGGACTTCTTTTGCTCTATATTTGTCTTTTGGTCACCTTCACTCTTTTTTTTTTTCTTTTGAGGGAGTTTTGCTGTGTTGGTTCTTCCCTCTGGCCTGGTGTAATAACCGCAGCCAACGGCGGTTCTGGCAGTGTCCTGACAACGCCCGTCGCCGGCGAGCAGAGAGGGCGCCTAAAACGTCTAGACACACGCAGACCAGATGAATGCTGCAGAAGAGATGCAGAGAACGAGAGAGGCAGGATGTATATGATTGAAGTGTTGAGAGAGCGAGGAAGTGTGAGGTGTGGAAGAAGAGGAGGAGAGAGGCGGACGAGGAGGGGAGGATCGCCAGTTAGTCTAGTTGCGGTTTGGTGGGGATTTTTGAGGTATTACTGACTTCCTCCCCTTTTAACGACCGCCCATGAAGATGACTTCATCCTCCCCAGCACCTCAACCACCTCACTCGCTCCCACGCCTACAACGCCAGTGTCTACAAGTGCCTACGAGTGCCTACGGGTGCTGCCAGCAGCCTGCGGTCTACAGTCAACGGTCTGCTTCATAGTGCTCACCCCCTGCCTGGCTCTGAAGACGGCTATTCAGTCTTCTAGCCTCGCTCTAAAGCTTGCCCTGGGACGCCCGCCGGTCTGGCTCGATATGGCAGCAGACACGGAAGACCCCCTTCTATCCATCGGGATTGCTCTGGAAACGGATGAAATGAAACAACTGCCATCCTATAAGAGACGGTCCTGGCCCTGGAAATGGGCCCTGATCCGATGGTTGCATCTCCTTCGTGCTTCTCCACACGGCGTACCAAAGATCAGAGGCATCATCTGTGCTTGAGCATTCCTATTTCCCCCGACCCAACTACTAGGGCTTGGGCGTCAACATTTTTAGCTAGCTGGCACTGCATGACCCTTGTGGAGGGGAATTGAGGCCGCCTGGGGTGCAGCACAGAGCCCAGCAGTCAACCTCTTCTATACGCTCGGAGTACGGAACAGCCCCTTTCGACAAAACACGAAGGAAGAGGAGAGGAAAAAGGAAGGGAAATGGGGTTAAAGAGCGTATATACCGCACTAGGCGTTGATCAACAACTCATCTGGTTGCACGGGGGTTTTTCTCTCTCGTCTGGCCCATCCACGTTGGAATTTCCTGCACGTCAGTCAAAACTTCTGACTTTTGGCAGAACACCATGAAGAGAGGAGCAAGAGGGAAACGGGGGAGGGAGTGGTGAAGGGAAAAAAAGAAAGAAATCGGAGCTACTTTGTGGTGGGGCGGGCCATCACGGCCTCAATATTATCGCACGTCCTTTTGCTTGTTGTTCACTTGCGCTTCTGCAAAAAGATCAACATATATACTCCGTACATTTACCGGCGGAAAGGTCGCGTGTGGTGAGCCGCTTAAGACCATACATGGATGTATCCGTTCACACACAAGATACGGAGAGGGTGTGCGGGCTGACATGGCTCGATGTGGCTCCTTTCCGAGACTCTCTGGATGGTCATCACGACTGGGCCGCCCTGTGTCATCTTTTTTCGTTCTTTCGCGCAACTACAAGAAAAACAACCTGAGGAAAAGAAAAGAGAGCTTTAGGAGCCAGATGTAAAAAGCAAAACGGACGTCAGACTCGCTATCATGCATGATGACGACAAGACGATGATACCCTCTTTTCCGATCCAGGGGCCAAGAGCCAATGGAAGAAAGCCGAGGAGGCTAGGCCGGGATCCATCCCCAGCACGACAAACCATATGGTGGACTCAAACCGCCTCTTTTATCCACCAAAAAATGATGTAAACGGCTCCTTCTCCTCCACACCTCGGTTTTTTGCTCTGATGAAGACAGACTTTTTGCTTTATATCCGCAGCCTTGCTCCTTATGTGATAGCGTGGACAGTTGTCACCCTCGGCGGCAAGGGGGTTGCGAATAAAGACAATGAAACCGGGCCGGCGTTAATGCATCAGCAACCGACTGCAATGCAGAGTTGAAACGTCTCATTGCATATATTAGTTATTATACCTCTTCTCTCACGCTTTTCTCAGTCTTGTCACCAAACCCCCCCCTTTTTTTTACCGCAAATGTCGACGTTTGGTACCCGATTTGTGACGTAGGCCAAGGCTGCGCCGGTGCACTGATGATCCCTCGCTAGGAAAGGTTAAACACATGTCGACATACAATATTTCAAATCCGCCTTTTCTTTTTCCCCATATTTGGTCGCAACGCCGCGGGATAGCCAGTCTATTCTTTCCTAAAAGAGGGGTGATCATGCAAGTGTTGTTCCTCAAAGATGCTTCTTTGCTGGCCCGAGTCCATTTTAACCTCCATTTAAGGGTGGAACCTGTCCAACGCTGAGCAAGAAAGGAGACTCTTGCGTCGGTGGATGCGCGGGAGACTTGACTATCTCGTAAAGTATTCCAACAAGCCCATTGGGACTAACGGAGCAACGACGTTCTAGGCCCTGTCAGGACATGTGTTCGGGGCAAGCGAACGACACGGAGCTAGGCCTGCAACGGTACAGCGTACGCTCGACGCAGCACTATGATGCAGGAATGCATGTCGACTTTACTTGCCGTCCGCTTGCAGGGACAGCATGTCCAGCGCCCCCTTACT